ATAAGCCGTGAAATTAATAGACTTTCTCCTTCACAAATTCACCAGTTAAAGTACACATTTGTCTGCATAATGAATTTTAATCTGTAGTCTGAGAATGCAACTTCGAAACATCATTGTGTTCAGTGCCCACTGTTGGAACCCATTGTTCATCGATAAATCAACATAGTTACCAACAGTTGCCGGATACCCCGTTGCTTCAGGCAGACATTTCTTTGATGTGGTTTTGTTCTCTGAGCTGGATGGTTAGTTTGCGAAGCTTTTCTTTGCATCTGACTGATTCAAGTTAAAGTGTGATAATTGTTTAAAAGCTACATCACGTTTAACGAAAGAAGACGAACAGCGGTTATGAGTCTCGCCGATCATGCACATGGTCCGGGGTTTGATCCCCTGCCAATATCTGTGGTCGGCCTGCAAAATTTGGCTTACCGATATCACATGCCGAAAATTCCATACCCATACCAAAAATGGTGTAGAATCAAGCTGTAATCAAAAATAAAAAATGTCATAAAGCTGTATTTAAAATGACTCAGTGGTGCAGCTAAATCATTCCGTTAATCGTGGCTTATAAGAACGACATCACTATGCTATGAACAGCAGGTATTTGGAAATTCAAAAGTCAAAGAGATTTCAGTTCCGGTACGAATGGGCCATCATTAATATCAACAGGACGGGATATTTAAAAAGCTACCACATTCTTAAATGAAATGCATGCGGTACTAATGATTGGCAGCTTATGGGCAGTAATACCTGTAACAGAGCTAACAGTAGGCTTTACGTGCACATTCTTGCGAAAGTGATAGTAAATCCTCCTTGGGTATAACAGAGCCGAAGCTCCCAGTACCACCAATAACAGTGTGCAACTTATCTGAATTTTCAATGAAAGTTCTCATTAGATGAGAACTAACACTATTGTATGCTGAAAGCAATAACGATCTCATCTTATCCCGAAGATCGAAAGAATCATGAGAATTCTAAGTAGTCAAAGCATTTAAACTTCTCCAAGTGGACATCCTGTGAGGACTGTCACCATTTTTATGGTGTTGAGCAGTTCGAAAATACCAGGTCCTTCGTAAGCAATTCTTTGTACATCGAAATACCATCTAATATTACTGCTTTCTTATCTGGGATCTACTTTTGATGAATAATATCTGTGACTTCTCATTATGAACTCTGAACAGCGTGCTGAGGGCAAAACCGGATATTCACTGTTAACATTTTCACATGTATTAGAAAATTTTTAGTAGCCCGAAATCCAAATGAAGCATTTTCTCCTCCTGTTTTGGAATTTTAGTGCAAGCATTCAGACAATCAAGAATATGGGAGCTAAGTAAATACCCAAAGTATCCATCTGCAGTTGTATATCGAGGTCCAGTACCTTTTGGTTAGGTGCACGAGATGTTTATTGAACTTTATCCTCTCTCAAGCTTCAGAAAAAGCGGTATGGAAATGGTCCGTCAGATATCCTTTGAGTTGCTCCCATGCAAATGAAATAAGCTCAGGCGGAAACGCCAGGATTTTTGGGAGACCAGAGACTGCATTCCCACTGACAGTAATAAAAGAAGCTGAAATTTCATTATCTGGAGCATTCATAAACAAATACTATGCTTTCAGGCATTTTATGCATTTTTCGGTTTCTCACGGTGAAGCTGTTTACGAAAATCTCCAGCGTTATTCAAAATATTTTTTGAGACAAAATATTTACACAATTTCAAATGTGATCCACAACGACTGAATGCAAGTAAACAAGCAACACCAGAAAGATGAAATAAATCATAAATTCATATTTGGCAAACTTATTTGTCTTGGTGTGTGATGTGGACTTCAACAAAGCAATTGAAGGTTTTCACGACTTCCACATTCAATTTCTGTCGGGTATAATATGGGTAAAGCAATCAGATAAATTTGTAATCCAGTTAAACATCTTGAAGACACTCGTTCATAGAAAACTCGTTTTACACCATTTTCGTATACCGGTGGTTCACCACTACATGAATACGTACATAAATCATAAAATGGGGACTAACTTTGTTGAACCTAGCGGTTTTGACCACACTTGTACCCCTTGGTACCGGACCTTCCATAATAGTAACAGCTGTATATGCTAGGATCTCCACGCTTTTGCCGGTTACACACAGTAGCATTGTGAAGACGTTGGCTAACGAAGGCTGTTGTGGGTTCTGTGCGAACTGCACTACAGGAGCTGCTGTTCGTAGCTGCATAATTTTTTCCGGCGTCCATGAACCCAAGGATCGTCTGAGTAAGGTCTGGCGTGCTGGTTGTGTGTAGCCGCAGGCGTGTGTGCAGATCACAAGGAAGTAAGCCAGCTGCGATGCACGTACGCACTATTTTTTCTCACTTGGCTGCATTCCCATGGATGTTAGTGCTGGCTACCATGGTTTGTCAAACTTGGAAGTAGTCTTAAGGCCTCTGTCCAGGTAGTTGTCGGCTAATGAGGACTTTCAGAATTGCGCAGTTGGGGCTCATTTGCAAGTTGAAACAGGTGTCAGGCATACTCCAGCTTTTGCTAGCGAGGTTAGTGCTACTAAATCCAGCAGCATCAGCTCGTGAGTAGGCTTGATCCCAGAGGGCATTTGGGATGTGGACATGGTGACCCAGCGAAGCTTGACTGACGGACGCCTGCATGTGTTTCTCCTACATTGCGTAATCTGAGGTGAATTTGGAGACTGGTGGTTGGCGAAAAGCAGTTACACTGATAACAGTTGGTCTGCATTCCTCTGGCAAAAGCTTGGAGGTTTCAACACTTGATGAAAGATTCATCTTTTTCAAACAATTTGGCACCTCCGACACCACTTCAACAACACAAAGAACAGCAGTCACGCAAAGGACGAAAGCAGAACACGAGCTCTGTAGGAGCGTGTATTTTGTATGATGCGAGGAATCAGACTACGCGGGCCAAGCTCTCAAAGAATCAATCGTTTTGTCATCATTGATATCAGATCTTGATATACGTTATGCTTCTTGCTCCACAGAATAGACTCTTGGATGTTCCGCTGAAGGGAAAAAAAGGAGATTGTTAAATACTTTATCTGTGACCGCTTTTTCTGTTTTACTTACCAGCCTAAAGTGGGACTTTGTAATAGAGACCTTGTGAAATTTCTGGGGATCAGTCAGATACTTCCGAATTACATGTAAGAAGTTTAAATACCTCCTATATAAATATTAATCAATATTGCCAAAGGTTGACGTTCAGCAACCATTCACATACAGGGAATGTGAATAAATTACATTCCCAATGAAATCAAATCTGCCTTTTCAGACTTGGAGAGGGTAGATACAGTATTCTACTTATTTACTAGGTACTTTTTCTGTGAACAATACTGTCATTTATAGTTATGGGTGACTCTAAATTATAGAGGCCCAAACGAAGCTACTTAATGAACGGAATAATAACCTTTGGTAACCAGTTAGATAAGTCCGTATTGAAGAGAGGAAATTACGGAGGCTGTACACGAATTATGAAGCACATATCATCGAAATTAATTATTTGAGTACTGCTTACTCAACAGGCCGATTGGGGGAGACAAAATGTGTAGTTAATAGTCATCCGTGGGGCCAATCAGTGATCTACAGTACACATTAACCTAAGAAAAGGAAAAACACATTTTCTCAGACAGATTTTCTAGAACGATAGCTGGGAAATCTATTCAAATACCCATCAAAAGAGACTGCATACTTCTGTAAAGACATTACTTCTGCTCATGTACAAGCCTATTATCCTGACAGTACTAAACTACTACCTCTTGATGGAATTCGCAATGTAATTCTGGTACTGTATCTACATTTCCACCTTTTTAATATGGGCTCATCTGACCAGTTGATCAAGGCCACTGCATCCACTTACTTGGGTCCTTCGTCCGGATAGCTGTTGTTTAGAGTTACACTGTCTGATTGTTGGTCTGTCCATCTGGTGAAGCTTTCGTGCCTTTAGAGTTGAATTTTACTGTCATGATCCGGAAGATCAGTTTCCACTGCATAAGAAATTCAGATGCCATTAGTTGCATCACGATAGACATACACTCAAGGTGTTTGCGGGTGAACAAAGAAAATTTCTGATTCTCTACTTGTATTCCACTTGCTCTTACAGATTCCTGGCACTTCTGTACCAAGTCTTCTAATTTCTTTTGCAGTCCGAACAGCCTTCACGGATTTGAATTTCGTAAATACGCTCAAAATCCTTATGCTTACTTTTGCTTGAAGAGGAAGAAGGCACTCAGCTAACTAGCTTCCTGAATGCTTTCTCCAGCCAATGGCATTCTTTCTGTCTGCTTCCAGCGAAGAATAACTTTACCATCTTAAGTGCTTTGAATTTTCTGTAGCTATTGGATGGATCTTCACATACCCAACCTTCCCTCTTTTGAAGGGCTTATGACCAGCTAGTAGTCAAGAGGTTACATTGTGATCTAGGCACAAAAACTGCCGAAAGCTTAGATCCGACTACCATCTGCCGCGTAAAAATGCTCACCACTTTTTAGCTGAAATGAGCACATTTCCCACTGAATGGACATATCTCAAGAACTGGTTTTTTTTACCACACGTTGTCCCACTTTCTCAATCCACTAACAGCATAGTTTAAGCTGTCCACGGCACTAAAATTGAGGTAATTTAAAAGAAATCTCATCAACATTTCACACCGGAATGGAAATCACCAAACCAGTCTTATATTTCAGTACCACAAAAATATCGTCACGCACCCCAATAATTGGAAATAAGTGCTTGAAGTAGTGTTAGTTCAAATGACGACGTGTCCTAAGATTGTCTGGCTAACCAAATTCAATTACACTGTACCTAACTTCGTCTCAATCACTTTAGTTTAACGTACGGAGGTAAGACACAATCTCTTTAATATCGCTTACTTACACAAAGCGTGAGATTTAGCTTTACAAACTAAGTCTTAATGAGGTCTGTAAGCTGACAGTCATATCAATGTGGTTGACACAGTAATATGTTTCGCATGGGTTCTCCTTTCGAGAACAATATCACCACTACAATGAGTTTTACTACTCTCTGTTTCATGCTTGAATACATTTATGAAGAAAAATCTGTTATTACAAAGAGAAACACTGTTATGATAATTAGGTAAGTGATTCAAAATAGGAAAACAGTGCGATTCCACATCGAAGGCATACACATATACACACTTCTGTTAATTAGGAAAAGAACCCGTTAAAACCAAGAACACTAGTGCATTAGTCAATATCAAAGTAGAAATCTTATTGAAAACAAATCATTAACAAATAAATCGGTTAACCTAAAGGGGAAATATTCTTAAAAATAATACCAATAAATCATTTTAGAATTAATATCAGCAAAAAGCAGAGACAGAAATACTGAAAAATGCTCATACACTCACACTCAGCACATTAATAATTTGCAATGATGCAAGAGAAAACGAACACAATTAGAGAGTAAAATAAACACAACCATAAACGAATCTTTTGAAGAAAAAAACCCTTACAATCTGGGAACACCAATGGCTACTATCTGACAATGAGTATTTAGTTATCAGTTAGCGAGAAAGAGCTGCGAAGTGAGAGATTTGGGCAAAAATTATTAAATTGAATATGACTAAATTGATTGAAGGAAGAACTTCGTATAAACGTTGACGTACACGGTAAAAAAAACCTGGAAAAAGACTGAAGAATTTAGCGAAATATGGAAATAAAAAAGAATATATTATACAAAGAGCAAAAAACACTCAGTAAATGTAAAGTATAATAATGCAAATTAAATTAAATTTTAATAGAAATGTGCAGAAAGGTGGACAGATATTTATATCTGTTTTGCTGTTCGCTTTAAATAACAGCGCCGCACTGAACGTCTGCAGTGTTCCCAGCGAGATACTTCAGACTCTTTGCGTTGTCCACTTCTGTGATGAAAACGATTGACAGAGTCGAAGTAACATGATTCTGTACATGAATTTCGTTTACAACAGTTGTCTTCAACAGGTAGCTGTAAAGACATTGATTAAATAAATTTTCAATTCAAAAACAGATTTATAATAAATGTATATTTTATATACAAACATACTTCAATATCATAAAGGTAGTGAAACATATTTTTAAACGAATTAAATATTAAATAAGGTATAATTATATTTCAATAGTTTACACACAATGATGAGTTTTTGTTATTGGTAATATTTCGAGCAAAATTACTGTCCTTGTTCACACACACCACTGTTGGACGTGTTTTTTTTTTAATTTAGGTTACAAAGTATCATTTTACTTAATGGAATTTAGTTTTCAGTATTTTGATTATTATTCTGCATACTAAAAGACTATTTGTTTGCAGTGAAATGTTTGTTTATTAAAGTGTTAGTATTTTATTGAATCAAACAAAAAAGTAGTTTTGTAAGTTTAGATGCTTTCCTTTACTTTTCTAGATATGTTTTGTTCAAATGTGGGTGTCAATATGAAATTAGCTTTTAGAAATCTCCGTAACATTGACCTTTAACACAAAAATATAATAATCCTGTCATATATGAAGAACATTTGTGAAGTTGCTGCAAGACGACAAAATTGCTACATTCTACACTACCTACGTTGCCCATAAAAAAACGCAACGGTAAAAGAAGACGTAACCAATATCAAGAGAGAACTCAAAAGCTACAATAGTAGATTCATTTGAATTAATGAGACGACTAAAAACCACTAGAATAGAGGAAGAGGAAATACTAATCAGCTTTGATGTAAATAGTCTATATGAAAATACCCATTCAAATGGCCATGAATGCACTGAAAGAGAAACTGAAAGAAGATAATGGCCTAAAATACAGAACACAGTTATCCGTAGAAGAGATAATAAAAGGGGTGGAATTCTGTCTGACAACAGCATATTTCACATTCGAAATGAAAATATACCAACAAAATGAAGGAGTAGCTAGGGGATCGCCTATCTCACCAATAATAGCCGACATATTCATGGATTATTGGGAAGAGAATACCCTTAAACCATTCAGGTCATCATTAAAATGTTGGTGGAGATATGTAATAGTGAAAAAAACAACGATATTGAGAAACTCTTCTCACACACAAACAGCCATGTCGACTCAATAAAAATCACTATGGAAATAGAGAGTGAAATTGGGGAACTGCCTATGTTAGACTGCAAAATACAAAGAATAACAGATGGTAGCATAAAAACGACGCTATATAGAAAAATCACACAGTCTGGAAGATTCTTTAATTATCACTCAGCCTATGCACTCACGGTAAAACGAGGATTAATACAAGGTCTTGCAGATGGAATATGTAGACTTACAACAACACCAGAAGACCAGCGCAAAGAAATAAACGTCCTATTCAGAATGCTACTCGAAAACAACTACTCAAAAGAATTTATAAAAGATGATATAAGAAGGAGAAAAAAGAGGGTAAAATCAGAGAATAACAAGATGGAAGAATGCAAAAGAAAAGTCACAATACCATATAAAGATGGTAAATCAGAAAAAATAAAAAATAATCAATACCAATAAAGATGGAGAGTAGGCTGTAGAAACCCCTAGAAACAACCAATTACGTTCAGGGTTATCACGAGAGACAACTATTATATTCATGGGGAATTTATTTGATATCAAAGTCAGTACTGAAGATGTCGTCTTGAAGGACAAGGAAAGTTTTGGAGTTGAAACGTCCTGCCCAGAGAGCGTACATACATCAAGTGAAATCACTGGATTTATTGTTCACTAAAGATGCATAAATTATAATAAGCATAAAAATGTAGTGGCAAATAGAACATCAAATGAAATTAAGGACATTTCCACATCAAGTTGGGGACCATTAGAACCTTGATGGCCAAGGTAAGGACGGTGTCTAAACCAGCTTGTTTTAGAAACATAAGTTAGGTTTCTTAATGTGGATCTCAACGACCTGGCTAATATGCAGTAGACGGACTCTTAAGGTAAAGTTAAAATTAGTTGTTATGCGTTAAATAATAATAATAACAGCTTTATTCCAAACAGTATTTGTGGTACAGTTATGGAATTTTCAGCATGACTTTGAAAGCATTGTTAACATCAATTTTGTGCTCTGTATCCACGAGTTGAGATAGAAGAGAGCTATGAATGGATTTTGTTTGTTACCTTGATGGCCAACGTATGGGAATAGAAGATAACCTGTCTAATTTCGTCTCTTCTATATGTGTATCTACCACATGTAATAATATGAATAGTTTGATGAGTGAGTTTTACTCAGGATGCACATAGGAACAAAGTAGATAATACGAAATTACGTAAGAGTTCTAAATGAATACAAAAATTATAAGCAATTAAAGAAAAAGAAAAGAAACAAAATTCAGTCATCAAAATCAAAAAGTTGTTACCATGACAGTAGAAGTGGTTGAGTAATCCTCTTTTGTATGCACAGCTCCGGTTTTTCGATGTGAACGGCCAGAGCCTCAGCGATACCAACATGGTTGCGAAAAGGCAATAGTGGTACAATAAGGAGTGCGATAATTGAACACCTGGTTAACACTGATCATTCCATTTCAACAAACGCCTCCTTCAAAGTAATCTACAGAGTCAAGAATAGCCTATCAAAGGCAATACGATTTCGTCTTCTTTGTATCACTGAAGCTCTGGCCATTCACATCGAAAAACCGGAGCTGTGCATACAAAAGAGGATTACTCAACCACTTCTACTGTCATGGTAACAACTTTTTGATTTTGATGACTGAATTTTATTTCTTTTCTTTTTCTTTAATTGCTTATAATTTTTGTATTCATTTAGAAATCTTACGCAATTTCGTATTATCTACTTTGTTCCTATGTGCATCCTGAGTAAAACTCACTCATCAAACTATTCATATGATAACTTTTTTTAACAACTGTTTACGACAACTCATCACCTTTGTTACTACCATAATTTCATTAACACCTAATTTTCTTGACTGATTTTGTATAACGTAACTCCAATTACCAATCTTCACCAGTCTAGTTAAAATAACCATAACCAATTGTATTTTTGTTTGACAAACTTAATGTACACATACATAAAAAATAACATATATATTTGCGATTGTACAGTTAAGAAAATGAATTCACCGAAAACAGACTCTTCGCTGATCTACGTGTTTTGTTTTCATTAATGACTGGATGGGGATTACCCATGAGTTTTACATCACTCAAAGCATGAAAAGACGCATTTACTACGGGCTCTTTATAAGCCCATGAAGTACAAATTGTGCTTTGTTTAAGTTTTAACTATACAAGATGTGAGCGGAAGATACTGCAATAGGTTTTGAATGTCTGTTACCTAACAATAAGACATATGCTGACGGAACGATAAGGAACACATAGAAAGATGAACTGGCCAAGTAGTTAACATTCACGGATGAAGACGATTGCATAACAACAGAAACCTAATCAAATCTTTTGCTTGCTGAAATTTACAAAACTCACTGCTTTATTGAGAAATTTTATTTCAAAAAGAAATCTCGAAGTCTGATAGGGGAAACAATGTTCCAGTGACAAAATAAGTAATTCAAATGAATTTTCATTTCAAAGTTGACTGATCTTAAATGAGGGGGTTGGTTAAAACTCAGCCACTCAGTGCCGGGTGATAAGCTACACTTATCTTGTGATAACTGACGGACCTCCTGATGGACCCGTTGGCTGGAAGTCGACTGCTTAATCCAATCAGCCACCTCGAACTTTCCATAGATAGCATTCATTGCATCATGGAAGAAATGGACATTTATTCGTTGTTCAATGTGTCTTAACAAACAACATAGATAATCGGGTGGGAGAAGACAAATCATTAGTGAAACAATCTCGGAAAAAAATGGCACTATAATTAGCTCCCAGGATAGACGACTGGATCGCTGGAAAGAGCATTATGAGGAGCAGTTTAATTGGCCCATAGCCACGCTCAACCTGCCGAACATCCAACACCTCCCTGAATGGGATATAGACACAGGTCCTCCGTCACTAACTGAGGTTACTAAAGCTGTCACCAATCTGAAACTAGGCAAAGCAGCGGGACCTGATGGAATGACTCCAGAGGTATTTAAGTACGGTGGAGACAGTTTACTGTCTGCATTAACTGAGGTACTAAGCAGCGTCTGGGAATCAGAAGAAGTCCCATCGGGTTGGTGTAAGTCACTGATTATCCCCATATACAAGAAGGGAGACAAGTCTTCCTGTGATAATCACAGAGGGATTAGCTTGACTAATATAGTATCTAAAGTCTTAGGCTCAATAATCATGCGTAGACTGAGTGGTGATCGGGAGGCACAAACACGAGAGAGCCAGGCAGGCTTTAGACCAGGAAGAGGGTGTATTGATCATATCTTCACCCTCCGACAGATTCAAGAACATAAGAATTCCTACCGGCGTCCAACAGTCATTATATTTCTTGACCTAAAGGCAGCATTCAACTCTGTCGATCGAGAAGTTCTCTGGAGATGCTTGACTGTGAAGGGAATTCCGAGAAAATATTTTGCACTGATTAAGGCACTCTACTCGTACTCATACAGCCAGGTGAGGGCTTACGGCGAGCTGTCATCTGAACTGGTGACGACTAGTGGTGTCCGTCAAGGATGCCCATTATCCCCTTTTCTATTCAACTTCATCATAGATGTACTAATGGACTTAACCCTAAGTGACTTCAGCGACTCAGGGATTGACTTGCTACCACGGAATAATCTCGTTGACTTAGAATATGCAGACGATATAGTCCTTCTAGGCGAAGACGCTGACGAAATGCAGAGTCTTCTAAACACCTTGAGCCGCAATCTACGAATGTTTGGCATGAGATTCGCTCCCGCCAAATGCAAGATGATGTTACAGGACTGGACTACATCGACGCCTAGTTTAAAAATAGGAAGTGAAGTGGTAGAGCACGTTGACCGCTTCACTTATTTGGGAAGTACCATCAGCCCCAACGGGTTGATCTCTGACGAAATCTCAGCACGAATACAAGGGGCTCGTTTCGCATTTGTTAGTTTACGCCGACTCTGGCGTAGACGAGATGTTCGACTATCGACCAAAGGGCGGGTGTACTGCTCATCAGTCCGCTCCGTCCTCCTTTATGGTTGTGAGACCTGGCCACTGAGAGTGGAAGACATGAAAAGACTAGCTGTCTTTGATCATAGGTGCCTGCGTTCTATTTCCCGTGTGAAGTGGCATAATAAGGTGAGCAACATTGAGGTTAGGCGTCGAGTTCTAGGTAAACAGGGGAAATCAATCGACGAAGTCGTGAAGTTACAAAGACTGAGATGGTTAGGACATGTGTTACGCATGCCAAGCCATCGCCTCCCTCGACGAGCAATGTTAGCGGATATAGGGTCAGGCTGGAAAAAAGCTAGTGGCGGTCAAACAAAAACATGGCCTAACCAGTCAATGAAATCCACAACAGTTGGTCTAAGCCACGTAGGAAGGTGTAGACTTCCAGGCTGGGGTCCTCGGGATGGTAAAAATCTATGGTTGGAAACAATTGGTGACATGGCTCAAAATCGTTCTCAGTGGCGCAGATGCATCCACTCCTTGTGACTAATGATCTCCAATGAAACTGTTTTGTTCTTCGTTATTACTCCTTTGTCTCACACCTCTGCTCACTGTTTCTATTATGCTTTTCTTGTACTTTCTTCTCTTGCTTCGCGTGCTACACGGAGTGTGGCGACTTGAACTGGTGCACATTTGTGCAAAGTTCTATGTCGAAAACAGACAGACAGACATAGATAATCATATTATACGTATATCAGTTGAGTTATTTTTTGAAGTCAGATGAATCCATGACTCTATTAGAATCCTGTCTAGGTGACAGACTTAGAAAACCTATTAAGTAGCATGAAGTGAGTGTTTAAATTCGTTGTACAATTGTGACCAATTCCAACCAAACTGATGATCGTGAAGTTATCTGTCGAATCAGTTCACCTCTTATGGACTTAATAGTGAATCTCAAATACCACTCATATTCCAATTCTGTTCAACTTCTATGCAACTGAAACAATCACATTATTATGCTCTTTCTAACTATATATCATTTTCTGAATATATCAACACGTTAGACAACTTATTCGGATTTGATAAATATTACTCAGTAACAGTTGTCTGTCAACATTTTCTTAGCGAATTCTACTAATTGGAAAAAGCAAGGTAGTGGTGTCACTACTTTCTTGTTACTGCAGTTTCCTTACAGTGCTAGATCATGAAAATGCCGTTAACTTTCTCACCTTACTGGCTACTTCGCTTGATCTTGTATTGATAAATGACTCCGGACTATATGAAGCTCATAAAAGAGCCCCACTGTTCTATTGTAAGGGTTTTACCCAAAATTTATGGAAAATTACATAACAGAACCTTTTCACACCTGTCCAAGAAAATTGTATACAGATGCTACTCTTGAGAAACATGCTCAAAAACACAAGGTGGAACTTGTTTAAGGAAGACTCTCTTGAAGACACAATCTCTAATATTAGAAGTTATCTCAAATTTCGCCTTGACATCTGTTGTCCAAGAGATAATCTTCATCAGATTTGACTTTTTCTCATCCTTACAACTTAAAAAGCTTCGCAGGGAAAAGGAAAAGTTATACAAAGTAAAGGATAACATTGGTGTGAAAAGAATTAACATCCTAATCAAGTCCGAAATGCAGAGGTTGAATTCAGTTTATAACCGAAAGTTGATATCCTGTAAAAATGCCTCCAATATATGGAAACTTTTCAAAGAAATTACTGGTGGTAAGCAGATAAACAGTATTCCCTATTCATTTGAACAAGTCTTTCATACATTCTCCAACGAATACCAAGCTTTCTAATGTCACAAGTGTTAATGAAACCTGCTTCCCTGGTTTCAGTACAAATGACGTTCTAAAATGGATCCAGTCATTGAAACATTCTTGTAGCCTAGGTCCAGAGGGTTTTCCAGGCGGTATTCTCAAAAAATGTGCAGATATACCACATTAACCTATCATTGACATATTTAATGAATCTTTCCAGAAATGTCGTGCCAACCATCTGGAAAGACATTCAAATTGTACCTATACCTAAATCATCTACTGGGACATTTAAATTTAGACCTATTGATATAACCTCTCCTTTTCTAAAAGCTATGGAAAAGTTACTCTTACTTGATTTTGAACCTCTACTTGAAGCCTTTAACGATTCCAAACAATCCGCCAACAAACATAATAGAAGCACTTTAGATGAAGCTGCAGTCTTGAATCATAACATTGTCTCCAGTTTAGACAAAGTGGCTAAATTTAATCCCTGAACCTTTCTAAATTACACAGCTGCTTTCGACTCAGTACCTAGGGATATTTTGTTCAATAAGCTTGCTGAAACCCAAACTGAATGTTTGGTCACCAACTGACTGCATTCCTATTTCTTAGGAAGAAAGCAGTACATTGTATGTCAGAGTGAGTCGTCCACTTCATTGCTTACTGAGGCTGGCGTCCATCAAGGCACCGTTCTTCCCGCTTTTCTGTTTTCTTTCTTCTGGCATGAGTTGCCTCACTCTGATGAAATGAACTTTGTAAAGTATGTGGACTATCTAACTATTCTAATGTCTGTTAACTCCCAGCTAGACTGTACTAAGATGAACAGCTTTCTATAAGGAGTCAGCAAATGGTCTTCGTCTAAACTAAGTCTTCGTCATTGATAGGTACTTGATTTCATGCAGCAAATTTGCTAAAGGAATTTTACAGACTGTGAGCATCCACTTTACCTGCAACTTTTTTACCGTAAGCACAGATAACTTTAGCAGCTGGGTAAGCTGCAGCAAGGGCTACTCTTAGTCTTTTCTTGATTTTTCTTTGTGAAACATCATTTCTTCTTACAAATAACTGGGATAATACTGCCTTTTTCTCGATTACAGAGACGTCCTCTTTACCACCATCATTTCTTCCATACTGCTACATGAGTTCCTTCCGAAACCCGTTTACATACTAATGCTTTTTAAGGAAGTTGAACTCCTCGTGCAGTTTATCTTCAGAGGAGAGTTCCCACGCTTCCTCAAATAGAAACCTGAACAATCCCTGTCTGTGTCTCATTGGACAAAAACTAGCTTATTTTAAGTAATGTTCAGTCCACGTATTTTTACAGAATATTTTCCTCTTGATTATCGGGTTTCTTTGAGAAAAATCTCGATTATCTCTTTAAGTGGGACGTCGATGAATAGGCAGGATATATCAAAGGCAAACAAGAATTAATTGGAAATGTTTAAACTACTCAGTGAATCGAAACTTCCTGCAGTGTGCGTACAATATTACAAATTGGTTCCAGCTGTGATAAAGCTAACTGCTTGACGGAAGCAAAAGACAGAATTATGGTTTTTTAAACAGTTTGGCCCAAGATCTATTCTAGTAGAACTGGACAGATTATGTTTGAGCTCTATGACTAACAAAATATTAAATATAATATCAAAACTCTGCTTACCTCTCCATCTGATGGACAATGAGAATCAAAGTCTGAATTTGAGCCGCACTGATGCCATTCTGCTGATGACATATGCTTTGCATACACTACTTCATTTAACTTTGAAATGGATGATCCCTTACGCTCAAAACATTGGACGGGAGGAGGAAGATTAGGCGAGTATGATGACGATGGTGAAGGTGAAACAGATGAATTCTGACAAGTAACATCGTTGGTCATCGAGATAGCTTCTACCGATTTGCACCGATTGGAAGTATCAGAATGTAGCCTGACTAGTTGACACTGACACGCTTTTCGAGGTACTAGTACAGATTGACTCACTCTCTCAAGCAATCGTCTTATTGCCTATGAACAAAACAATGAAATTAGGCACACTAAATAACATGAATATAGAAAACGGAAATTGAGACTATCACAAAATTCAATGTTCAGTTGAAGCTATTCCCAAACACTGAGGCACAAGACTCAATAGGTTGACAGTGATGAGCTTAACACGTCACACCGAACCCTTCAATTTAACAATTAGCGATACTTAACACTTTTATGTAATTGATGATAAAATACTACTTCAATTCTTTAAAAAACGATAACACAGAAACAGGTTCAATCATCATTAATGTTGTTGTAGCAAGTAGAGTAATAAACCGGCGTAGATTTACTAAAGAAGAAGCTCGCTAGTAAAATGGAAACAAAACATTATGCGTTATCAACATCAATAGCTCAATTAAACAATTTTAAAGTCTCAAATATTTCCATATCATGCGTTAAAAGTTGGCCTGATAGAAGAATATTCTTCTCAGTGAATTCTCTTCAATATTTCTTATTCCAACAATAGTCAGGTATGTTGTAGATACATCTGTACGTCGAATAACAGATAAGATTTAGGTTACAGGGTGGAAAAATAAGTAGTACTTATGTGACAAATATGGTGAGTTGAATGCAAATACAAAGTCGTGCGGGATAGATAATAATTACCAATAATAGATTAATGCAGTATGGAGGAGGAAAGTTGATAGATGAGTTTAAGGTCGTAAAATGTGTTTGGTGAGTGGCCGGCACAAGTATAGTACGCATTAAACAGAAGATAGTAAGACTGAGGTGGATAGTTCATTCTGAAATAATTAATATAAGAAATCAATGAAATGAAGTTATATGATGAGAAAAGAATTAATATAGCTAATAATAAGTGAGAAAAGCATGTTAGCGTTTGTATGCATGGAAAATTCGAGTGTTTGAAGAATGCTAGAATGAAGGATATGAATATTGCGGCTAAAATTGTCTAGACAAACAGAAAAAAGGTTGTAAACAAGGAAAAGAAGAGAAACCTCTGGAGGAAAGAATAATTTTTATCCAAGGATGGCCACAATAGAAACAACGTTTGGACGTGTTCTACTTGAAAGCAGGGTTCTGGTTCAGTCAATCTTATCGCAACCACATGCAAAAAACCTAAGCTAAATGTGCATGGTAATTTCTTTATTATGCAGTAAGCAACCCTAGAGACCAAGTTAGCGTCTATGTGATCTTACGTGTCTACTAAGTATGATAAAATTGACATTTTTCTGCATTTAATTTCACCCTTTCTGAAGCAGGTTACTAAATGTTCTCGTATCCGTAAATAAACCTGCTTAGTAGGAAGCCATACATTATTTGGACCACAAACAATTAATGCAGTTTATGCATGAATAGGAGCTGACATTAGATACAAACATCTTTCACTTTCAGGGTAAACATTGGAAAGCTAATGCAGGATAAGAATAAGTGTCCAGAGTAGAATGTCCTCTTTATCGTTCTGGTTAGATACTGGGACAGGATCCCCGTAGGGGTATCTCCTTAGAATTTTAGATGCAAAGGTAATAGCTTTCATTCTCTGGATGTCCGTCCTCATAAAAATATTTTATACAACCTTTGGAGCAAACTGACCTCACTCCCAATGCTAAACACTTAATCTAACTGCACTTAAATTTCTTTGGTACAAAGCTAAGAAAATGTGTATACTGAGCTTTGCTGTCTAGTTTTCGAAATATGTTTTGTTGGGTACGTCATCTCTTCTCGTTAGTGAAACATCCAGAAAGTAAAATATCGTTGTGCTCTTTTGTGAGCAAAATGAACAGCTAGGTGAGAGTTACTGAATCAGACCGAAATCGAATCATCACATAGTCTTTATCAGTAATCATAAAAGTATCATCCATGTAACGATAGTAGTTTCATTTTCTGTATTTCATTTTTCAACTCAATAAATTCCCGAATTTCAATGTAAGGCCCCCATTGAGTCAAGAATATTCGTCAAATTTACAAAGAATTGTATTCAGCTTAACCAGTACGACTGACTGATTTCACCGTTGAACTTTGCACCAATGAGCAGCATTTCGAATTGCCACACTTTACGTAGCACACAAAGCAAGAGAAGAGAGTAGAGAAAGATTCAAAAGAGACAATAGATAGAAATATGAGGCAAAAAGAATAGTAATGAGGAAGAACAATATAGTTTTATCGAAAATTATAAATCACAAGAAGTCGATGCATCTGCACCATTGAGAACGATTATGAACCATATCATCAATTATCTCCAGTCATTGGCTTTTACCATCCCGAGGACCCCAACCAGACAGCAGTCTACACCTCCCGACATGAATGGCTTAAACTAACTATTGTGAATTTCATTGATTGATGCCATGTTTTGGTTTGACCACCAGTGGCTCTTTTCCAACCTGATCCTATGTCAGCTAACATTGCCCGTCGTGGAAGGCGATGGCCTACCCATACGTAACACATGTTCTAACCATTTGAGTGGATGTAACTTCACAGCCTCGTCGATTGGTTTCCCCTCCCTACCTAACACTCGACGCCTAACCTCAGTATTGCTCACCCTATTTTACCACTTCGCATGAGAGACTGAACACAGACATCCATGATCAAAGACAGCTAACCTTTTTACATCTTCCACTTTAATGGCCAAGTCTCACAACCATAAAGGAGGATAGACCGGCTTAACCAGTACCCTAAACTTTACTGGGAAGAGGGGAGAAGTTACAACATGCAATTAATCAGCTTGAATCATTTCTGTATAATATCTTACAATTGGAAATAAACATATAGCAATGAGGAATGCACTTATTGACCTGACAGAAAACAGACTTCAATTTGTCGAAAATGTCAAACTCCGCAAAGAGACGAACACAGTTGATCAAAGGCTAGGAAGGATGAACACAAAGTAAATGATACATATCTAGGATTGTAAACCGCACATGTGTGAAATGGTACTGCTTACAGGTTTCAAGTCTTAGTATGATGTCGGCGAGATACACCCTTTTTCTTCTAATTTACGTAGTCAGGTGATGATATACCTTTCTATTTTCTCAGTTTGACCTTTCATTGATTCCGGTTTGTGAGACTTGCTACTATCCTCCATTATATAATTCATTTTGCTTCTATAATCGTATCTGTCTATTATTACCATTCCAGTCCTTTTATCCGGCTCACTAATGACTGTTACGATTTAATCTTAGCCTTTTGATAGCCTACCGAGGCTCTTTAGTGAGTATACCAAGATATCATTTTATTATTCTCTATATACTGATAATAGTCTCCTAATAGTGGTAATGAATTTCTCTAGATAAGAAACAAATGTTAGTTTAAAAAACACTACCGATAGACCAAAACATACCAATCGCAAGACACGTTTGGGAGGGAATTCATTGTCTTCATCATCAGTATGCGATGAATCTGATGAACTTTGAGAGGAGTATATGGTAGAGGATAAATTATTATCCGTTGATGAAATGAGTGGACTTTGATCAGAAACAGATGAGTCTATTTTTTGGACATGATAATTGTCAGAAGGTATATGATCATGCTGAACAATTAATGACCTATTCAGGTGTTGACATCTGAATGATTTCAACTGAGAATTATTTAAATTATCGGGTAAACGGAAATGACGTAGCTGGAAAAAGATAAAAGGTATACAATATCCATTATTTTAAGTACATGAAAAATAATCAAAAACAGTTTTGTCTAACTAGACGGAAATACAAAAACTCGACACTTCGACAACGCACGTTCAGTTACTAGAAGAAGCTCAGCTTATTAGCAAATTTTAACAGAATAAGAAAATACAATTGTCTTTCGCCATTTATGGATCAATTATTTGTATTTTATTGCTTTATTTGATAGTCACACAGGCAATTCAAACTTAAGTCAACCGATAGAAATGTGTATTAATTAAATTTTTAGCTCAACAAAGAGTATTTGGTAAATTTAAAGGACAGAAAAGGAATGCGGAGAAATCGTAGAAACAGTAAGAGATTAAAACAGATAATAGACAGAAAATGAAACATTTTACGGAATACAGTTAGCTGATCAAATGGACCTAAGTCTTTCGAAGACTGACACAGGACAATTTGATAGATTATGAAATACACTTGAAATCGTAAAAATTTCATTGAATATAATGTAGTGTATAAAATATATAACGGTTAGTACTACAGCATTGTAAGCAGGTACTTCTGGTGGTATGCAGAAAGATTCTAACACCTTTGAATCCGTAAACAAAAAACAAAAAATTATAATTGTATCTAGTTTTATGCTCTTCTACATTGGATCCTGGGAATTTATATATATATATATATATATATATATATATACATCGAGTGTTAGTGGTATTATTTTTTCGATGTAGTCTTGGCGATCCATCAGGACAATGCCAGAACCTTTGTCGAGGCGTATCACAATCAAGTCTTTGTTCTTTAGAATCGCACGTATTTTTTGATTTTTACAGTCAAAGAGTTATGAAGCTCGAAAGTATAATAAAAATGGAGAAAAAGGTAAGAACACAAATTGTCCCACACTAATAAACTATTACACAATAATCCAACAGGCTTATTATTTATAAGATATGTTATAATAAATACGAAGGAGACTAACAGTTTTTAGGGGAACATCATTCGCAATGATTGGAATGTGTCGGCTTAATGGGCTAACTCCCCTTAAATGTGCGTTCATCAGTTGAATGAATCATTAACAAAGTCTTGAATTGCATAATTAAATTGCACAGAGCTACCCACGGATCATGTGATTGATCAAGATTAAAGATATGTCTTGCTACCAACAAGAGTGAGGTCAATCGAAAACCTTTCTTCAATTACCATCAACTGCTCAAAATGATGGAGACTGCACCAGGATGTCAAGTTAGGTGACCGCAGCTGGGTGACTGCATTACAATTTTGATAAAAAGGACTCAAAGAAAACTCGGGAGTAGGTAAAATGATAGCAATTATTGTCAAGTAATCAACAGGTAAATTCCAGCAAAGCATCATGAGTCTGACTTCAAGCTATGTGTGTACGTCGTATGAGTTTTATAACCCTACGAAAATCATGTCACTTCACAAGAAATAGGCGACTTTTAAAGGGAACCAAAATCTATACTTACAAACTTTTGTTAGCGAACTGTCAATTCCAGAGTATTTCATCCGTTTCCGACTTCAGACAACCTTTACAACACAGCTGGGGAATGAATATCTACACACCAAAAGGGTTGCGACTGGGTGTCAGACAAGTGAAGTGTGGTAGGCAAATTTACTTTACAGCACAATATGGTTATAACATGCATTATAAAGTGCTATTTCACATTATTTCATACTGCAGACGTGATTAGACGACTGACTGATAGGTTGCAGACGGACTCTAAAAGTGTGTCAGCTCAAAAAGCCACACGTCGGTAACGCATACAAAACAAAGGAATAAAAACGGATTAATAAGACGATACATAAACAAGGATATGACAAAGCAAATAATTAACTGAAGACTAGTAAAACTTTTCATGATTTGGAATTGTTGAAGAGAAAATATATTGTATAGGACCTTAATTCGTCTTGATAGAAATTTTAGACCGTTGATTTTTACAGTCTAAAAAAAAGCTCGGTAATCGACATACCGCTACATGAATTAGCTCAACAGTCGACAATTTCATCGATTAATCCCATGTTATGGTATGCTAAATTATCTAGCATTACTCGTCAATGAGTGCTGATTCTGAATGCATAGAAAAGAACAGAAGAGACAGAGAAGAAAGTACAACCAACAACAATATGAGGATAATAAAACCAGCAATAAAGAGGGTTGGTAGTCATCAAAATGAGATCAATCGTATTCTAAGGATATGGGGCACTGTTTGATTACATTTCTTAAATTTTGCCAGTGGAAATCAGCATAATTACTGGTAACAAGTAACACTGTATACATGCCATCATGACTTAGTTTACGTTATGTACTAATAACCCTTGTGAAAACTGGTAGTGGTTTAAAAAGGGAAATAACCGCTAGAAAAGACTAACTAATCTATTAGTACTCCTACTATGATATGACTTATCGTTGTCTTGTAGGAATTCATGACAGTAAGAATTAGAATTCAGATACGCCAAATGAGATGTATGCGAATGTACATTTCAATGGTTTGAAGATGTCTATATGCCTTAAAGGAACAAATTGAATAACGACCCGTACTACAGAGCATGAACAGTGGCTAGCATCTTTATTTCTTACCTGCTAGTGATTAGAAACTAACGAACTAGTGAGAGGTATAAAAAATAATGACGAGCATGATTTCAACAATTAATAAGCATGAAAAAAGCGAAAAATATACATTGACTGACCAATTCTGCTTCTAGTGCAGCTAGGAATTTAGCGGGCAATGCATTCTTTGGACGAGATCGGACATTCGCAACGTCTTCGGCAATCAATTGATCATGTACGTCTAAAAGTCGATCCATGCTCACCATCGCTGAGAAATATGGCTCGTCAGATGACACAAATCCATTCGTTGAAAGGTGTGAATCTGAAACAATTTGATCGCGAAAGTCAGAATGCTTGGAAATCCGAGTACTTTTTTCGCGTAACTTTGTCGTTATACGGATATCCTCGCTTTGCACATCCCCCTGACCAGTTGAAGGTGAGAAAGGACGGAAACTAGATCCAATATTGAGACTTTCTGCGTTATCAGAGGATGCAGCAGTGGAAGAGGAAGTAAAAGGTGCTGCAGACATCGTGTTGGTTGATAAGGTATTTACCTGAGGATCGCCCAAATCATCAAAGCACTTCCTACATATAGGACAGTTAGTGTTCTGTTCAATCCACAAGTATAAACAGGCAGTATGGAAAATATGACCACAAGGAAGTTGGCAGGATTTATTCATTTCCTCCCAGCAAATAGAACAATTTTCTTTGGACTGAAATTAAAATAAAAATGTGTCCAATATTAAGCAGAAAAGAATAATTAATTAGAATAACATATAATTAATTTTTCGCCCTCCTGTACGTCTTCAACTACTGTAGTTCCCCCATATTTCTTTTTTACTTTTACGTGTGTTTTAGAAAGTCCATTTTTAGTGCAAGGTTTTACTTTGTTGAGTCAGTCGATTAGTTCCATTTAAGAAAAAAATTCTTACTATTTATAGCTTCTTAATAATGGAATTATAACTCCAGGTTGCACCACTGTTTATTATAATTCCATATGAGAACCATCAGAATTCTCTATAACATTTACTCAACGAAAAAGATGGTTTAGAAAAGGCGATGGACACCCTATTTAGGAATGGAGTCACGGCTGATTACTTCAGGCACAAACCACTAATCCTTAGTGGTTAGGTATTACTAGCTATTATATGTGTATACATTTTGGACGATTCATTTGTTGAGAATTAAACCATTTGCGAAAGCTGCCCATAAAACGTCAATGTTGGAAAGCAGCAAAATAACATTTGTGTCACGAAGCAATTCACCGATGAAAAGTTTTCTTTGAAAATACAAGCTGACTCTAGGGTCTCCTAGCTTTAAACTACTGACCAACCTTCATCCGACCGTCCTTTCGGCATTCAAACTATTTTTTCTCAGCATAGTGGAATTAATGTCACTGTTTTCTGAGGTTATGCACATTAAGATATTACCTTAATCCATTAGTTTTAGGGCAGACTGTGTGACAGCTAAAATACCTATTGGTTCATAGTAAGGTATGAGCATTTTAGTACTCGCGATTTCTCAGAGATGCCATATTAAGTAGAAGTGTTAAAACTCTTTCTGACAGTTAGATCAAATATGAGCTATGTTAAATGAATTTACCTAAACAACGAAAGATTGGCGAGGAAAAATAAGGCTATGTTGCTTATAACACCGAGGGAGACTAATAACAACAGCTGGTATTTTTACATGCATATATCTAATTCCGAAACTTGTCTCTGGAACTTAAATAATTCAAGTAATATATCAATTCAATTCAATCTACTTTTGCATTTTGCATCATAGTTACCCGAATGTAGCGTAATAGAGATGAGAGTATTTTCTCAAGTATGCTAGATATAAATGTGAAAAGACGGCTGCTTACTCGTTTCCTTCACTACTACAAGCAACACAATATGATGACCTCTTGCTATAATGTACTTGACAAAAACATTTTTCTCACGTGATATAATCCCTACCATATATTTCTGTTGTTTCGAGTGACATCCAAAGCTGACTATAACAAGCATCACCTTAAATGCATACCCATTTTAAATAAGCATATTTAAAATAGTTTTAGGCATGCTGATGACGTAAATTTCGACTTGAATGAGACTTTACAGCAGACGCCATGGATACAAAGCTATTAGAGCGCAGTTGTGGAATAGTTATTGCAATATCACAGAAGGTTAAATGAACTGTCAGAAACAAAGGCCACAGTCTCAACATAATTCACCAGGCAAACCACATCTACACAATAAACGAAAATACTATTCTCCCACCTCAACTTTGGTGACTGCTGCACTTGCAAACTAATAAGCCATAGTTCTGAAGAAGTGGTATTATATATATATATATATATATATATATATATATACATAGAGAGAGAGGGACTATATGTTACCATGAAAATCAAAACGAATCAAGGTCCGATAAGTAAGCGAATAACCCGAATGTGAAAATAAAATGAAAAACGATCTCAACTGAACTGAAGTTCAGCTTACTCACTTCTAGATGAATAATCCTTGAGTCCAAAACTCGTAATACAGTCCTATAGCGCCTGTGATGCACAATTCGTTTTGACATTTTATAATACAAATGTTGAAGGTGTAGAGCGATTATTATACTGGGCATATTAATTTGAAGTTTATTCCAAAATAACATGTGCAGATTGTGTAACAAATCACCGAAGTCAGCGACTGAATCGTAGAGAAGCTCCGTGTAGTAGAGAATAACAAATCGGTGGTATAACTTATCTCCATTACTTGGTCGAGAAGCAAGTTCACAGTATACATAAACCACATACCATGTGATTACATGCACTGTGACTATCATTAACTGAAATACTTCGGCAAGCATGAAGAACATCGTGTGAAGTGAATGCTTTGCACCCACAATAATACATACAACCATTAAAAAATTACTGAGAAGTAAAAGTAAGCAACACAGCAAGAAGATTCTAGCTTGATATGTGAAAGAAGAGTCAGAGCAGCGGAGAATATATTGCGAACGATCCCTGATAAGACCAGTGAGAAGACGCAAAAAACCAAGAATGGAAAACCAAGTGGCCCAAAGTAAAAGTTCATGAAGCGCTTCGACGTGCAGTATACCATAAATAAAAACCACTTTATAGAAAATAAAACTAGAGAAGTTCTCTCTGATGTGTGAATCTTCTGCACTTCTGAGTTGGCCGAAGAACATATTTTGCAGCTCTCTTGCAACGCATATCAATAAGCAGTATCCGAAGTTTATGACACTCCAAAAGCACCAACTGTCCTCAAGACAACTGTTAAGAGCATCAGTGGAAGAATTTGGTGAAGTAGAATTAATGAAGGCACTAGAGTCTACATTCTTTGTTACTTGATAGCACACACGCAAAACTGATCCCAACAGTGACACTGTTGTATACACAACATACGTCGAAAAGTTCGGTAGTGGAATACGCTCTAGACTCCACACTTGCATGTAAAAAAGTAGCGTCAGCGTTACAAGATGCTGCTCATCTCATATTCAGAATCCAATATTCTTTCCATCAGTGAGTTTAAACAAAATTCCACCGTCTCCTGTTGTGTGATGACAGAACTGTTCTTGACTAGACTAAACCCTGCAACTGCTGGAGTAGCTGCATTGAAAGGACAGACAGAAGGGGTTACGCCAGATTCCTTGAACACATGTTAAAAAACCTTCTACTGAGAGAAACGATGTGCCCAGGACGACAAGTGGACGTACTTGCAACAACTGAAGTAATTAACAAATAAAAAACGAACTTCTTGTCTGGCTTTCTCAAGTTGTGGCAATGAATTGTCTAAAACTGGCCATGTGTGTAGGAAATTGATTACTCTGACAACACTTCCTCCTTTGATTCCATCAATTTGTTTCACCATCCCAACCGCAAATTATCGTTTGACTTTCGTATTAGACTTGACCATTGATCCACTGAATTCTGATCGCTGTATTACACTATCACATTTTTCCCCCCGACTTTGCTCAAAACAATCCTAATTTCACAACTCCATGAATCCTACCCAAAGTATTTCGCTTTCTAATAACTCAGTTATCACTGACTCATCACCACTCATCGACCATGTTTTACATGACATTTCGCTTTTGTGATATGTATGTGTGCTGATAGTCTCAGTAACCTTACTACCCTTGTCTTGTTTCACTACGACTTTCTTGCATCAATCCTTACTGCAGGGGTGATGATTAACAAATGTACGTTAAAACTATGTCAACACTTGTACGAAACCAGCAGGAATCGGAGGAATAAAGTGGATTCATATTAGGAATATACACGTACATTTTGTGTTGTGAATCACCGTTTACATTCAGTAAACTAAATTTTAAAGAATGAATGGCGTCCAATCCGAATACTCTCTAATTGGAAAACACACCTGCTAAGGAAACCCAATCTTTCCAACTTTTGAATCCAACTCAACTATTACGTCCAGACTGAATAGTTGTGTCACAAGCCTAGCCGTCTCGAACTACTTTCAAAGCCTCAGGTGCTACATTTTTAGCACTAGATCAGACAAACAAGACTTTTGGGTCTGCTGCCTGATTGCTGTAAAGCTGAACAGCCTCGAATATCTGGATAAAGTCAAAATCATATTCCCTATACTTTATCAGACTTTCTGCTCTTATTCTGCTGGGAAGACACTCCGCTGCTATTTCTTCTCTTGTTTTCTAATCAAAGCTAATAATTATAGGTTATACTGCAGTCAGATCTACTATTATGAAGAGCCCTGTGACACTATATTCCGTTGTGACTGGGTCTCAAACTGAAAGAAGTAATCCAGAGTAACTAACTCAACTTCGCATTCCGATACTTAGGAGCTAAGTATTATTTCAAAAGTGCAGATACTATCAAGGATCCTGATCTTATACTCACCAGTCACCTAACGACCTCAGCTCCGCTGGTGATTTCACGCTTCTCTCAACAGAAACACCCAAAGTTACGGTGCCTGACATAATGAAGGAAACTAGTATTATTGCGGTTCGAAGTAAAAATGGTTTACTAATTATTCGCATGTCCATAACGGATTTACAGAACATGTTTAACTGTGTTACACCTTTTGCCGTGTCGTGTGACCCATCACATGACGTTTGTCTAGAATCACTTCTCAAATCTCAGCGCTAACTCGACTATATGGTCACACTGGCCGTCAAGAGCATCATGTCCTCGCACAGTGTCTCAGCCTATAACATTCCTGAGAGAAACCTGAAGGCCAAGCTGAAAAGTTCATATCTAAATATCCTTGACATTAATAATAATAATTTGCTTTTATTCCAGAAACAGTACTAGAGGTACAGTGTGAAATTTTCAGCACATATCTACAATATCTCATTTAATTTCATCGGACATTTAAAAGGAGTATTACAAAAAATATAAAAAACAACAACAAAAACCAAAAGGAAACACAAAAAATGCAAATATAAATACCAAGTATAAACACCAATAATGAAAAATATTTCAGTATTTGGTAGCGGAAGCTAGGATATGTGTATGCGTGGTGAACAGTAACAGCTATAATCATACAAGAAGTTATGAAATGTTCTTAAAAATGTTTATAGCCAATATGATCAGTTAATTTGATTGAACTACTCTAAACAATCATAAAATAAACATTTTAGGTTGTTTTTTATTGTCAGAACTAACGCAGTGTTTGTTGTGCTAGTGTGAGTAAACCTGCAGAATACATAACTTTTAAGATGGTGATAGTGGCGTTCACAAACAAGATTGTCAGTTTAATATTGCCGAACAAAAAAAAACAATCACAAAACTAATATTACATGATGGTTAATGACATGACAATTTTGCAATAATCATAGTGATAACATAGTCGGACCCAGTAGATACACAAAAGAAGGAATAGAATGAAGAATAAAAAAGTAAGCCAATGGTAATAATTTTAGGTAGCTAAGTATGTCTAAGAAGGTTGTTCACTATAGAGTTCCCAATAAGAGAGTATAGGGGGGGAAATAACAAGAGCCAAAATTATGTTATTAACAACAAAGCAAGTCATAGGTTTCATGCTTAACATTGTCTCTGCCACTTAGAACACGGGCCAAATACGGTATCGTTGAGTTCCTATACTTGGTTGTACGAGCATATATTATTTTATACTGATTTCTGGTTCTTCCCGACGAGATGCAAGGAGAGAGTTGGGAATAGAGGGGGTGCCGGGGGTCAGAGAGTATGGTTTTAGACTATTTCTCGCATGTATTCAAATGCTTATCCACTAATGTTGTGACGAGCTGACTGAGTTTTACACCGCTAGTCCTACTAACTACCTTCAACATCCTTCTCAGGATGGTATAGTCAGTCCTTTTTCAGTAACCCAGGAAAGTCTAATGGGGAGCAGGGAAGTGGAATACGTAAGATACGAGAGTTGACAATTTGTGAAAGCAGAGGTTGAGTGATTCCAGTTAGTCTGAGTTTCTTAATGCAGTAGGTTAGACGAAACACTTTCTTAGAAATCATTTGGATATGAGATGACCAAGTAAGGTCGGCAGATAGAACTAGTTCGAGGTATTTTGCATTAGACTTGGTTTCAATTTTAGTCCCCTCAATGCTACAGGCTTCATGAGTGCTTACTAGTGTTTGTAGATCTCGTTTATGCCTAAAGGAGACGTCTTTAGTCTGGCATTTTGAGAAATTTAGCATGAGACCATTTAGTTTAGACCACTGACTGATGTCCGACAGAAAGCTGTTTAATTTGAGGCAGTCTGGCTGAGACTTAACGGGAAGCGAAACAGTCAGGTCATCTGCATATTTGACGAAGTTGATTTCGTCTGAAAGAGGTAGGTCATGTAAGAAGAAGGAGAAGAGAATCGGAAAGAGAACAGCGCCCTGAGGAACTCCAGCTTCAGTAAGCAAAGGAGAGGAAGCTACACCATTATATACCGTGTACTGCATCCTATTAGAGAAGTAAGAGTGCAGCCAGTTGATAGCCCAGGACTCAGTTTGTGTAAGGCTAAGCTTGTTTAACAAAAGGCCTCTAGGTACAGAGTCGAAAGCAGATGTGTAATCAAGGAACGTGCAACGGACATATCTAAGCAGGATACAATGTGAAGAAATACAGCAGGCTTTGTGCCGTAGTAAGAATTCCGAAAACTACTCATTTCCAGTGCTTTCCAAGTTCTTGTCTGTTGAAGAAGCTAGGAATCTTTTACTACCTGATGAGATAACTGACTTTGCAACACCTTAGGGAAACATTGTGGCTACACCAGTTTTAACGCCTTATCAAATACGATACTTCTCAGGAAAACCAAATGATGACAGCTCTAATGGAATGACCATTAAATACTTTTGACGCGGTACGCCGTCCAGTGATATACCTGATGACCAGGCACATCAGACACTTCTACATGCACAGACCAGTGGTAATCAATTAATATGGAGTGACACAGTTCTAAATAGTGAAATGGCAGACATAGATAAGTCAACAGAATATGGTGTTGGAATAAATCTTTTGTACACTGACTCAAATACCAAGAGGCCAAAAACATCAAACCACATTGCACTTACATTCTCTTCCTATCCTCAGAACTCATTCACTGCTCATCCTCACACTCCATCTAATGAGATCCACATGCCTCAGTAGCTGCCCAAGCTGTCAAGCTTCCCAGGTGGCATGATGACAGTCACATCTCTTTAGGGAAAACAAAATGGCCTATGTTATCTGAATAACAGAAACCCACTGAAAAATGTACTGCCTGCCCTGTTGGCAATCACCAGCCAGGAATACTTGAGCAAGGAAACACCGATGTACTTAAATCAAAGTCCAGACACCCAGCAAAAATGCCCATTAATATAATAGACAGACACGGGTCTCTGACCCATCGTACTAATAGAAGGTCAACTAAATTGGACTAGACTTCTAAAGTTAACTTATTCAGGCTTAATTTGAGAATCAACCATATCCAACTACTGGTTCTAGTCAAACAACAAGAGGAACTCTACATTTTTCTGTCCATTTTCTGCGTAAACCCTCTCCCAACCATTTCCCTATGAGTATCCTGTAGACAACGTATATGAGAAAAGCCCAAACGTCAGCTACAGATTACGTACAGTAGGTTAAATAAAATAACCCATCCATACATCTGATGTACATCCAGTAAGGAACATTTTCCGAACTCCGCTCGAAACTTACCCCGGTCTAATATCTAGCCCAATCAGTTAACTAGACTTCGTTCCTATTTTGACAACAAATTGCCGGACACCCTTATCGGCCATAACTTTGAGAAATACACTGCTCTAAGTGGCTGAGTTTAATTTTCGTCGGTATCAGTTAACACAAACACCTGGGATCGTGTGATTTCGGAAAAATTCCCTGCTGGTATGACAACCGCTTACATCTATGACATGGCATGTTCCCATAAGATAGCTGACACACTTTCGGCACATAATATGGACACTAATATTCTCGATTATCACATATGTGTCCCTTATGGTGAGCACCGTCCTAATGACTGTCCAGCCTTAACCACGACCTCACAAGCC